AGGAGGGGAGGAGGAGGTGGAGGAGGAAGAGGACCAGGAGTAGCAGCAGATCACGACATTCTCATGATGGGCCGTGACGACGATGATGAGCGGATGACTGGGGGATGACTATGATGATAATCCTCGTAACGATGATCATGGTAATTAATGATGCTGATGTACGCGTCGGACAAACTGACTACGACAGCATGCCCCAGTTTCGGATATCTAGTAAGTAGAACTATGACTTTTCTCGTCTGACACGGTGGGCCCTGTATCTCCAGTGAAGCCCGGGACGCTTGAACCATCAGGCACGAGACAATTCAGTGGAATCACCTGCAACTCGACGGCACTTTCTGATGTATCTAAAGAGATATGCATGAGGCTTTAAGGCTGCAAGGAGAACCGCACACCATGCGTTCCGTCTTTAGTTTGTAATGAATCTAATGGTTCTATATACATTGGGAGCAACACAGGGATCGTGCATTGCAGACTTAAAGCATACACGGCAGGGGGCGTGAAATTATTGAAGCTGAGTGTTATGCTTTCTGCATTACCCAGGTCTTTCGTGTCGCCAGGCTGTTCCAGGGTTCTAGGGCTTCTAGGGCGTGCATCTTCACATATGTGCGACTATGGGTTCAGGGTTTATGGTCTTGGGATGTCTTGGTGTTTCGGGTTTAGGGTTTTGGGTCTCGGCCAATGGGAGAAGTTTAAACGTTTTGGCCTTGCACAAGTGGTCCATCCAACATTTAAGCAGCCGGCTGTTGAAGAAGAGCGTACGGGAGCATTGACCCATCTGGATGATGGACCCTAACACCCTAACACCCTGAACCCTAAAACCCTAAACCCTCCACCCTAAAACCCTAACTGCCTGGCCCTTAACCCTAAACCCTTCCTACCACACGGTCTGTTGCAGGGTCTTCGTTTGGTTGTTGGAGTACGTCGTCTGCCAATTGGTCATCTACTTGGGTCGACGTATACCAATGGGGTGAACTGCTTGATGAACTTGTTTGTGAAATGGAGAGAGCTTGGTGAAGTGTTCGTTGATCCGGGAGGAAATCGGCGTTTATTCTGAGGGTGGTTGCCCTAAACCCCAACCCCAAAACCCTTGAGCCAGAAGTGGCCAAGAAAGAGCCGACACAACTTTCAACCAAAAACCTAAACCCTGAACCCTAAACCCTAGTTCGGACTATAGGAAGCAAGCTCTGAGGAACTGGGAGGACGAGTACAACTTCATCAGCTTTATTCTTCATCGACCAGGTGAGCATTTTCGGGTCTTAGGATTTAGGGGTTTAGGAGTTCGGGGTTTAGGGGTTTAGGGCTTTAGAGGTTTAGGATCAGGTTTGATAGAGGCTTTTGAATGATATTCAGACATATTTTGTGCAGAGGCCTGAATGATTGCGAATACCGTCCCGGTACAGTCCCTGAAAAAGGTTGACTAGAACACACCTCCGAAGCCCTATTCGAATCTCAATTTTCGTTCATTGGTACCCTAAACCCTAAACCCTAAACTCTAAACCCTAAACCCTAAACCCTAAACTCTAAACCCTAAACCCTAAACTCTAAGCCCTAAACCCTAAACCCTAAACTCTAAGGCCGTTTGGCTTCGGCTTCAGGGCTTCTCTGGATTGCTAGAAGCGTTGTGCGATGGGAGGGTTGGGGTTACGCGGCTCTGGACACGGAGGTTTAGGGTTTAGGGTTTAGGGTTTAGGGGTGTCCTGCTGCGTTGTTACAGGCTTCCTTGTTGTCTACGGTTGCATCCGTTCGGAGCTCTCTGGCATAAACCCTGAACACCTTTAGACCCGAAAACCTAAGCCTTAAACCCTACCTTAACCCCAACGAACCTACCTGTTTAAGGACTTATATACGGAAAATCAAAATAAGGAATCCTAAAAAGGTAGGTTCTTTGGGGTCCAGGTAGACCCTAAGCACCTAAACCCTAAGCCCTGAGTCGGTTTGAGTCGGCTCGGAGATTCTTCAAAGTTACGCGCTCGCACATCGCTTTGTCGTTCGTATCGGGGCTTCGAAGGCTACCCGGTCATTGATGGTTTAGGTTTGAGGCTTTAGGGCCAACTTTAGGGAGTAGAGGCAAGATCCTGCAGTACTTTCGGTTCCCTAGTCGTTCTACGAATGTTGGCTATTATGGTATTGTCCATCTTCTACGTATCGCAGATGTTTGTAATCATCCGCAGTAAGATCCACGACGAGTTATAGGCCCAAAAGGTTCTTGGAGAGAGGCCGAAGCATGCACCCTAAACGCTAACCCCCAAATGAGACCCTAGACGCAACCCCTGGTCTTCATGTTGAACCCTAATGGTCCATGTGCCCAAATAGGATATGCTTTGGCCTTAAAGTAGTCCCTATATAGGTACTTTGGGGCCAAAGTATATGCTATTTGGGTACAAGGACCCTTAGGGGAATAGCTCGGGTGTATGGGGCCATGTTCAGAGTCTGCGCGAATTCGAGGCCTCGAGCTGCTGCCAAACCCTAAGGCTCTAAGGACTCCTATTTTAAGGCTTTGGGGCCCAAAGACCATACTGTATGAGGCTTTTGGGCTATTTTGAGCCTTAGGGAAAGTGCTTCAAGAAGAGAACACCAAGACCGCCAAGGAGAAACCCTGCCGCGAACCCCTAAACCCCAATCCCGTAAACCCTGAACCCTTAAAGCCCAAAAAGCCCTAGAGGGCCTAAAGGCCCTAAACCCTAAAGCCTCCCACACCTCTAAACCCTGAACCCCTAAACTTGATTGTGGCGGAACCCCCCGCCTGCCAGGTGAAGATGTGCAGGATGCTGAGCAACCGGAAGAGGCCCGGACTTAGCCCTTTATCAAGCCTCAGGGGGCAGATGCATCTATCGCTGAACACCTATGTCCCTAAACTCTTTACATGTAGGTCTTTTTTGAGGTATCTCTGCTAAAGCTTGCCAAAGTTGTCAGTAGATTGGACTATGTATCAGCTTTCCTTCTCACCCTGGTTGTTTGTACCCATTCGCGTCCCATTCAAGCGCTCAGCGCCCTTTCTCACTCACACACACACGCACACACACACACACTCTCTCTCTCTCTCTCCCTGTACGGGGTCCCCTAAGGATTCGATCAGCGTTTGATCCTTAGACTCCTGAACCTCAAAACCCAGACTCCCTAAGGGTCCATGTACCCAAATTTTATATACTTTGGCCTTAAAGTAGTCCCTATATAGGTACTTTGGGGCCAAAGTATATGCTATTTGGCTACATGGACCCTGAGGGGTTTGAGCTAATTGGGAAGGACGTTGGTCCAAAGCCCCATCGACCCCTGCTTTGACTCCCTCGGACTTTCTTTCTACCCATAGGCCCCTAAGGGGTCCTGATAATACGGATCCTACTATTTGGGGTACTGTATTAGGGTTTAGGGTTTAGGGCTTACCCATAGGCCCCAAGTAGTCCCTTTCTTATGGTTTATATTTAGAGTCCTATAAAGTAATCTCAAAAAGGAGCTACTGAGGGGCCCATGGGTAGGGCCCATGTAGAGACCGGCAGTTCATAGACCCCAACGCTAGTTGCGGCGATTCAAACACAAGCAGCTTGTCTTTCTCTTTTTCTCTGTTGTTAGGTGTTTCCTGGCGCCACATGGAAGCCCTAGGGCCTATCACCGTAGCGGGTTTAGGGTTTAGGGTAACATCTTACACCCAAGCCCCCTCTGGAAGAGTCGGGGACTTCTTTGACAGGCCTCTGTTGTCAGCGCTGCGGCTTCCAAGGCTCCTGCCACCTTGTTTTAGGGATGTAAGGGTTTAGGGTTTAGGGTTACCCTTAACCCTTTAAACCCTAAACCCTAAACCCTAGAAAGGCACTCGGACTCGCCGGGTAGGATCAGAAAGACTGGGGTTCCATAGAGTTCCGATATGGGTACAATAGAGCCTGAACAGTTTTACTGTTCGACGTAGCGGTTTATGCCGGGCAAGGGTTTAGGAGATGTGGGGTAGGGTGTAGGATGTAATTAGATAGGTTGGGCGGGTAAATATGTATATGGCAGGGCTGCTTAATGAATTGAGGTTGGTACCGAACAAAAGGGATTGGAGTTGCGATTGCGTTGCGATTGCGTAGGGCTGCTGATGGACAAAATTCCCCGTTATCCGGTCTGATCAGGCATTACATGATCTTCAATAAGGAATATGCCTCAGACCGTCAGGGACAGCCGAAAGCTGGAATCTCCTGCAGGCCGCGAGCAGTGGGAGCACTCGGGACAGCGAGCGCCGCCAGTGTACTGCTCTGCTCGTGGCTGCCCGGCAGAGCCTGATGGCTTTCATTGTTCGGCCCGCTTAGGGCATTTAGGGTTGAGGGTTTTGCGGTTTGGAGCGAATTTGACTTCGAGGGTTTGGGGTTTACTGGGCTCCATCTTGAAGGCAGAATGTCGTGGGAGTAGAAGGCGAACATTACAGATGTACAGCTGCAACGTTTCGATGGCACTTGGCCGTCAACGTGTAGCCCTGAACACAGGCGGCACCTAAACCCCAAATTCCCAAACCCTTCCCTCCCCAATAGCAGCAAAAGGCGAAACCAAGCAAACAAACGAACGAATACTACGGCTGCTGCTACTACTACTACTACTACTACTAGTACTAGTACTAGTACTTACTACTACTTACTACTACTT